GGACAGAGTGCATCATGCCTGTTGAACAGAAGTACTGACGTGTCACCTGAGCCCTTCACAGCGATGAGAAAACGTTACATTAATGGCTTCGTCGATGTGTTAGGGCACCGGCGTTCAGTCACTCAGACATCGGTCCCATTTACTTTATCCTCCCACTTCATTCAGACACACCTGTGAATTTATAGACCAGCACAATATCTGCTGCTCATGTAAAATCAAAAGCAACACTGAGTACGGTTTGTTACACAAAGTCTGATGGCTTTTACACAACAACATGTCATCCAGCAGTGACAACTCGTATATTTGATTGTGCCAAGTGTTGCAGTGGTTGTGTAAACATACAGATGGGAGGATGGAGGCTGCTCAGAATATGACATGTACATGATTGGGTTTACTGAAMACCCAGTGTTATACTCCTGTGGACATAATTGGACTAACCTGCAAATCCTCTTACAGTTTTCTCACCACAACCTGTCACTTTACTGCAAAATTTGATATCAGCCTAACAAGCCTGCTGGATTGTGGTAGTATGATGGCAGAGGATGGGAGTTGTAAATAAAACATTGACACGTGCAGCTGTTTCATAAAATAAATAAAAAAACAAATTGATAGGATTTTATTCCACTATCGCACAGCTACTAAATTTATTTTTATTTCCTAAAAATAAACAAATCGTGTGTGCTGTTAAGCTTTATGTGCAACAGCCATGGAATATAACATTTTGGTGCCAGAAAACCTACAAATCCCGATAGTATGAATAAATATTTTATGACTGACTTTTTAACTGTTGTCAAAGTAGTTAAGCATTTTAAATGACACTTTTCTGGCTCACAAATAGCGCTTGGGTGGGCAGAAAAAACATAAATAAAATCTGCTCTACCGTACAGAATATGAAGCAATGACAATAAGGAGGACAACCAGACTGCAGGCCTATAGGTGCCAAGTGTAAAATAAAATGTTCAACACATCTTCATTATTTTGCTCACTAATTCCACTAACACTTTTTTATTTGGTTGTTTAACTCACTGTTCTTGCATTTGCTATTTTTTTAATAAATATTAAATTTAAATGTTAAATGTCATATGCAAGTGTTAAATCCTGATTCTGAATGTAAAAATTAAAGCTTAAATGTGCCTAAATGCTGAAGTTTACACTGACGTAGTGCAGATTGGAGCACATTTATTGAAGTGTTGGTGCAGTTTTCATTCTGTCCACTGGGAGGAGTGAAGAGTCACACCCGCCTTGTTGCCTTCACGGACCTGTAAAAAAATGGGAAATCTCTTTGGCGTCAAAACGTAAACTCTTTGAACATGCATTGTCAGCTTTTGGGAGAGTTATTTTGTATTTTTAAAACAATCGCATTTCGAAAACAATGTACCGATTTTACTGGGTRGCGCTGCATTACGGCGGCGATTATCTTTCCAAAATATGAGTATTAATCATACAGCGTATGGGAAAAAATGCCTCTTGTGTAAATGGAGTTCTTGTTTTAATGCGCAGTGGAATGAACAGGCTTGGTTTAGAGAGGACAGGAGCGGCAGTGAGAGGAGCCTGAAGGCGACATGTAGCTTCAGAGGAAGGAGGCAGCATTTATCAACAGCTACCGAGAAGCACAGCAGCTAGACACTTCATGAGGTAAATATTCGACTTTTTACTTCTTTTAATAAGCTTTCTGGTTTAATAGCCCCACGACAGGTCGTTTAGCTGTTTTCTGTCTGCACGAAAATAGTGAAAGTCGATGGTTTTACTTCCGCTGACAGACTGGTGGACAAAGGAAAGTGGGTGATGCTTTCTATGAGAGATACTCCGAAGAGATTAACCACAGTTAGAGGCTCACTGTAATTAAATAACACGGACAGATTATAAACCGGTAGTTTATCGCTTTGAGTAGATCACTCATTTAGCCCTTTGATCTGCTGCAGGCTATAAGTTTGCATACAGGAACTGTGACTCAAAACATGACTTTAGTTCAACCCAAGCTGTTCTGAACATTTTAAACAAAACATCAGAGAGCCCTAACAGTAATTAAAGCTGCACACCGGTCAGCCATAACATTATGACCWCCATCASCTTTGACCTTTGAGGAATAGGTCATCTGTGCATCCTATAGATGCCTGATCAGACTGAGCTTTGTGATTAACTTGCCTTATTTACAATGTGACAGGAAGTGTTTCTCCTGAGGCCATCACCAGCAGGACTCTTTCCTGTGTCAGTCATAACGTTGCAATGCTTCTGCAGGAATGTTGCAAGACATTTTTTTAGGACACGTATGCAAATTCTAGGCACATTTTGTGAACGCGCTGTAAATGCAAATTCTGAAAACTGAGAATTTGCATGCAACAGTGAATTTCATAAGCTGGGCAATAAATTTATACCTGTATTTGTGTTAAAGTACTTGAATGTCTTTTATAATGGAGTAACAACCTGTCCTGTGTCCTCCTCCAACTCTCTGGGACAGACTCCTGTGTACTACCATGAACAGGATACAGCACCTGCGTGTTGGCAGCAGTGACTGATGGCTTTGTTTGGTTCTAAAAGTTAGCCAGTTGTAGATGTACATCCACTGGTTGTTTTTTTTTTTTTAGAGAGATTCATGAAATCTGTTCAGTTGTTCCTGAGATGCCTTGTAGAAGGAGAYATATCCTGCTTTTAAATCCTTGTTTTTCACATTTAAATCATTAATTTGGGGTCTATAATGCTTTGGTCTGAATTCCTCCTTATTGTAACTCCACAAGCCCCTCTTTTGCTCCCTTTCTGAGATATGCCTCAGATCAACTCGTTTTGAGGCTGCCTCTTTAAATCCAAATGAGGCATTTCACACCCACCCTCCAGCTCCTAGAGCGGCCCGTTCCAGTTTGATAGAGAGGTTTATGTCTTTGCAGCAGCGCACCAACATTTTATTTACAAATTAATTAAGATGTCAACATTGGAAGACTTGTCCATCCAGCCTTACATGTTGGAGAGTCTGACCCAGAGCCAGAGGAGAATGAAGCTCACCAAATTGTAGTTAGTAAGTCCAGATCTTATTTGGCAGTTTTGTCACAAATAATGTGACATAACAATTCAGAAAAMGTCATAGAAAATAGAAAAAARCTGAAACGGTTGAAAAATATGACCCAAACAGAAGATATTGTTGCAGCATCAGGAGAGACTGAATTAAACTTTTCTGCACTTCTAGAGACTCCAAATACACAACGGAACGTAAATAAAGTCTAAAATAAGTGTATTTTGCAGGTTATGTCTCCTTTAAGACAGAAAACAAGCGCACACACAGACAGGTTATCTATCACCTGTGTTTTGGCAGTGGGTTAGATAAAGTGATTTGTGTTGTTAAACTGCTTTGTTCTAGTTGGAAAACTTGCATCTAGGTTCAAATCAGTGTTAGATTTACACTATAAAAAGAGTTAACTGACTTCCTAATCTTGGATGTATTTTAATATAAAAAATCTTCACAAAATTTGGGACAGTTTACGAAGTTTTCTGAGGTGTTCAAACCATTTGATTTCATATTAAAATATTTTAGTGTTTTTACTGTGATGGATTTGAGCTCTCTGCTACTGTTAAACAGCATTCGGTTTCTCTAGTTCCGTCAGCCCGGAGAAGTACCGGTATGCAGTTTTAATGAGGTTGGTCAGGTGAGGAGCAACATATCATTACGCAACCTGAACCGAACGGGACGCTTTTTAGGTCAGCTGCTTAGTTACCCCACAGGAAACAAGGGAAGGGAGAGGAGTTCCACTCTTTCAGCGACCAGGTTCATGTACCACTCTTCATAAGATTATAAGATTTAAAGCAGAGACCCCACATAAAGAATCTGCTCCTGATGGCTCGGTGTCAGATACCTCAGCAGACCTCCAGCGGTCTGGTGGTTTTCATGTCTCCGTCAGTCTGAGGCTGTTTTGGGAGCAAAACAGAACCTGATCATGATGTTATAATTGATTGATGAAAGGTGGGTAATCATGTTTTTGCCTATCAGCGTTTTACCAAAACATCTCAAAGGCAACTATTTTAGTCAACTGTATCTGTTAGCAAATCTCATGAATCATGAGATGGATCTTAATGAAACTTTCAGGAAATGATCACAGGATGTACAGAGGTTAGACAATGAAACTGAAACACCTGGTTTTAGACCATAACATCCCTTTCAGACAGCTTCCTCTTGCATCCACAGTTAATCCTGTTGGACGTTCTTCGTCCTTCTTGGTGGTATGCTGACMTTACCCAGGATACTGTGGCTCTTGACACATCACAAAGACTTGCTGTCTTGGTCACAGATGCACCAGCAAGACGTGCATCAAGAGTTTGTCCTCTTTTGAACTCTGGTATGTCACCCATAATGTTGTGTGCGTTGCAATATTTTGAGCCAAACTGCTCTTACCCTGCTAATTGAACCTTAGCACTCTGCTCTTACTGGTGCAATGTGCAATTAATGAAGATTAGGCTGGTCCAGTTTAGCCATGAAACCTCCCACACTAAAATGACAGGTGTTTCAGTTTCATTGTCTAACCCCTGTACATCTAGAACTAATTTATATTGGGAGACACCCCAACTTAAGTTGTCCGCCACAGCTAACCGACCTTAGAAAACTCATAAAGGGTTATAATTCAGTCAGTTTTACAGATATCATGCTAACATTTAGTGTAGTAGTAGTGCTGAGTGAGTTATATGAACTGACCCAGTGAGATAAATGTAATACTCAGTTTTGCATAACACTAAACACTGTGATATTGGCTTAGTTCACAGACGCCCTCACAAATGGAAGGTAATGGATGCAGCCAGCGGTGGAGGATGCCTCCAGAGTTCAAACACAGCAAGAGGTTAAATCCAGCTGCAGAAAACAGCAAACAAGACAAAACTGAGAGCAAAAACAAGGAGGAGGCAAACAAAAATGTGACCATAGCATCCACCTCCAGGTACCTGACGGACCGACGCTATGTGTCGAGAAGACCTCTTACCTCTGAAGAACAGCACGTGTCTATTTTAAAAGGGACACATCCACAGAACGTTGCAGAAAAGGTAAAGAAAGAAAGAGAAAGAAGGAAGCAGTTTTTTAATTCATAGATTTGTCTCTTTAGAGGTAATGATGGTGCATTTTTTGACTTGAGAACTGCATGTGCTCCATGGTGTGGAAGTAACAGTTTTACATTTGTCTCTCCTGAATGTGCTGTAAATAAATTACACTTTGCTTCAAAAATAKCAAAACTGTAGAGCCTGACGATAAAACCATTGTTTGAGTACGGTAAAATGAAGAGAAACTACAGTATTTAGAATTGCAACATCTTTTTTTCATTTAGGAATAAAAGTTGTGACCATTCTTCCCAAGGCCAATGATTGTTCATGAATCATTTTTTAGCCACTTCAGTAGAAAACAGAACTGAGTGTTAGTTTCTTAATTTCTTCATCATCAGTGACTTTTTTATATACTATAGTAAAGAGGAAAAAGAAAAAGAAGAGAAGTGTAAGAACTGTAAAGAGAGAAACTGATAGAAATTCAAAGACGTGAAATGAACACCAATAACACACAAGACAACACACCCGACAMCTGACCATCAGAGAATGAAGAAAACGAACACCCAGCAACCAAACATAAACTTATATATGTACTTATACCCATACGCAAATATATATATATATATACATATACACACACACACACACACATATACACATCCACACATACTGTACATACAATAATTACAACCTCGCTAAGTAATATACACAAAACACACACAGCCAGACACATACTGTACACACACATACCTATATACATACACGCATACACATATACACACCTACGTACAGTGGTTTGCAAAAGTATTCATACCCCTTGAACTTTTCCATATTTTGTCACATTACAACCACAAACATAAATATATTTCACTGGAAT